AGGTTGACATCCAATCCAGCCTTAAAGTAAACAATCTGCCACAAGTAACTAGAAAAAGTTATTAAGAAAAATGAAAAATAAGAATAAGAGGCCCTCTGCAAGGCCTCTATCCCAGTGGTGGTAAGAGAACCACCAGAATTGAGGCTTTGCCTGTCGGGCTGCTCCATCTATTGGTGGGGAGCGACACCTGCTGGAAACCGGGTCCAGCGTCCCTTGAATACATCGCCTGAGTACAATGTTTGTTGGGGCTATGGCCATATCAGTTCCTATCCTGGAGCACCATCTTTCCCTCTGGGCGGCTGAGTTCACCCTTCCTACTTGTAGAGGTCCTACTTCCCACTGACCCAGCCCCCACCTGGAAACTTGCCCACCGTGTCCTCCTATCTTATAGCTTATTAGTTGTACTGTTGTAGCTCAGTTCCAGGCATCTGCAGCCCCCTGAATTGGGGTGAGCACATGAGGAAGTGATAAGAGCATCTTCCTCAAGGTTGCCTCTGGTGTGAAGGCTCATCTATTGGTGGGGAGCAGCACCTACCGGGAACTGGGCCCGGGGGCGCTTTGTACATACACAAAGTTGCATGCTTGACCTTCCTATCCACTGCTCTGCATGGCTGATGTCTGATGTCTGATGTCTGCTGAGGCTGACTGTTAGGGCATCGGAGTAGAATGCAGTTCCCCTCCTGTTTAAGGGGTCAGCCCCCCTGTATCTTTTTTATCCTGTGGTCTGTTTTTAGCAGCACGCTGGCTTCTATGAGCTGTTGTTGGCAGCATGTATCACCCTGCACAGCCATCTTCACCTGCTTGCAGTTCTGCCTCCAATGACCCCTCTACAACTGTGGCGGGTGCTTGTTGTCCTCAGTTGTCCCCTGTACTTTTCCCATTCCTTTTCTAACCACCCATCCCAGTTGATGTAGCTCATTGGTTGGAGCACCAGTTCAAAATGCGCATTGTGGTATAAGGTTGCGGGTTCAAAACTTCGCAACCTTGCGCATGGACACCGGAAGGGCGTTAGAGTGACGGACATACACACCCTTGGGATGACGCAGGTAAGCTATTACAGACACTGCCTGCGCACCTCCCAAGGGGTAGCCCATGGTTGTTCTATGCTGTGACTGGGCGAGGGTGGGGTGTCCTGATGTTCTTGGTCTATGGGGTGGTCACGAGACTGCTGGGTGATTTGTATGGTCTGGTTTACCCGAGCCCAGCAGAGTGTAGTCACAGACTTTCACAGTATAGGTCAATAGGTTAGGTCACCCAGCACCACTAGCACTTGAGAAAAAAAAAAAAAGGTTAGGTCATTTGCACGATTCACATGAGGTCCTGTGTTCAATACCAGATCATGACTTAGGGCTGGTCATCCTCCTAGTACGTAGTCAAGGGTTGAGGCTGGCATAGCAGTTCCTTAGTAGGGGATGTCGGGGGTGTCAGGAGATACTGCACCTTACCGGGGGGCCGGAAAAGGCTCCAGGGGGAACAGAGGATTTTTTATTATTATTATTATTTTTTTTTTTAATAACAAATGCTCCAGTCTATTCGTGGGGAGCAGCACGTGCTGGGAACCGGGCCCAGCATCCCATATCGAATCATAGTACTCGACAGCTTTGGACTCTCTAGTTTAGTCTGTTTTGGGGGATATGGAAATCTTGCGGCTCAACACGATCTTTGTAGGGCTTGGGCTCACAAGTATTGATCGGGGTTATTTCCTCAGGATTGGAGCCCCTCCCTGTGAGGGCTACACAAGGTGGGAGGTGTTGTCCTTGAGAGGGTAGGGGCGGTATTGTGGGATTGTCCTTTTTTGAGTCGTGCTGATCTTTGGGTCAGATCAGTATGGCGGCTGGGGAGAGTGGACAAGGGGTGCTGAATTCAGCAAGATGGGAGGTAGAGAGGGCTGTTTCACTGGGAGGGGGTGGGACATGAGGAAAGGGGGAATTCCAGCTCTGTGGGGGCATACTCTAGGGGGAATTGTGTGCTGCTGAGGGAGCGAGAATGGCCGTTTAGGGGGCTGTTCTGAACTGGGGCCGGTGTGGTGAGGAGGCACCTTCCGACGGAGGCAGTGTATGGACAGAGGGACGTTTTTGAGGGAGGAGTAATCTTCGGAATTTTTTTTGTGAGTTCTTCATGATTGGTTGAGCTTCGAATAGACACCGGAACCGCTACAGGATGAGGGGTTATTTTTCCCTCCCCTCCTCTCGTTTCGTGGAGGTAGAAGGGGGTTTCTCTGCCTTTGTCTGAGTCAATTTCTTTGAAGGAGGGCGGGG